AGCAAGTCAGTTAAGGGGTGGGTAGGCTCCCTGCACAGTTACTTGGTATATCCAGACGCCCATTGGCCACACAGCTGTCCACGTCTGCTGGCCCAACCCACGTGGTACATGGCGGACAGGTTGGGTTCACCTTCCCAATGTGCCCCAGGAGCAACCTTCAACCACGATGGCTGCGGTTTGGAAGGTAAAGGCCCAGCGTGCTCAGGGGCAGGTGGTGTGAGGCCAAGGCGTGTTGGAGTCCACACCCGGGGTCCCCAGCAGGGCGATGTCCCCAGCTGTCCGCGGCAATGTCCTGCTTGATAACATGCCATTTCTGGGCTTCCTTCCCTTTCCTGACTCACTTCCCCGTCCGCTGAATGGCATTTCCTGAGATCTCTTCCCGAAGAAACCACTTAGACTGGATTCTCATTCCGGGCTCAGAGGCACCTAACCCAAGGCGGGCTTCCACATAGCAGAACGGTTCACTCTAACCCAGTCTCGGGCCCACTCTTGTGCTGCTTCCCACATTAGGTGCTCCGAGGCCCACCACCTCAGGATCTCCCTGACTGCCTCAAACACCTTTTCTAAGAAACTTCTTAATTGGGAACGCCTTGGTCTCCTTCCCAACTGCCCTTCCCCAGGCGTTCCCCCAGAGTCTTTCCACTGCACTCCCAGACCCCTGAAGCTTCCTTTAATTTCTCTCAGAAGGCTCTTCAGAGAAACCATGCTCGCCTCTCTCCCCCCTGGTTCTGTGCACAGAGAGGGCCGGTCTCTGGGATATGCTGCTCTACCTCTGGAAGCCGGCATCTGGAACACAGCTGTTGTTTTGATGTCGTTACAGCTTCACAGAGTGGCGGTGCTGCTGACAGTTGTCCCCGAAGCGGCACCCCTGAGTTTCATATCTGCTTCCAGATTATGCTCCCCTGAAACCCAGGAAAGCTTCAAGCGCCTCTTATCCTGTCTCTCTCCAGCCCTCCTCCCCGACCCCTCTTTGTTGTTTTGTGCTCTCTCTTGCCTTTCTTTTTGGTTCATGTCTACTCTGTTTTGCGAGCCTGTGGTGAGCGGACACTGGGCTTACGAACCATCTCTTCTCTTGTCAAACGCCTGCTTCGCCGGCTACTGTATGTCAGCTTCTACTCAAAGGCCTCAGTGGCCAGGGATTTATTTGGAAGTCGGTTTGCCTGTCGGTCCGTTTTGGCTGGGGTTTTGGCTGGGGGTGATGTGGATATTGTATCTGCCGTGCTTGCCAGAGGGGGGCCCCTGAAAGGGTCCCCACCGTCATCCGCTTCCCACACACCACGAACGCTCGTATGAACACGAAGTAAACCGAACGCCAGACAGAGATTTCTTTGTAAAGCAGAGCCAGGCTCCCGGTCTGTCTTTGCTGAAGGATGATTTCAGGATTTATCCTCCTTTGTAAGACGACAGCAGTGGGCCAATCACCTCCTATCTGGCTCCTTCTTCGAACCACTCTCTAAGACCTGTTTTCTTGATTCCACGTTCTTTCAGATGATCCAAGTATCTGAGATGATGCCCTCTGTCACGATCTGTCGTCCTTAACTCTCTATTCTCCTTTCTAAATTCATATTTGCCTTCTCCCACCCGAGGGTTGTATCATGTTATCTATATGTTCATTACCCGTCTTTCTAGAATATTAGTTCTTCACAGACTCCTTGTCCCTGGAGGGCAGAGGCTGTATTTTTTCTGTTTTTTGTTTGTTTTTCCACTGCTGTGTCCTTAGCATTTTGAATAATGCCTGCCATGCAATTGGTACTCAATAGACGTTTGTTGAGAGAAGGAATGAATGAATAAACAGATCTTCAGAGTAATAAGGATAAGGAAGTCATCTCAGACTTTAAGGCACTGAGCCTGTTACGTGGTCAGAAGTTAAGAAAGAGCTTATGAATCTGTTAACAGAGATGCATCCAGAGAAGACAGGAGAGTCCATCCCTGGAGACTTTCATGACTGGGGCCATCGCTGAATGTTCCTCAAGTGTGCTACTGTCTTGCTGGCTACTCCCAGAAAGACCCTGAATTCAAGGCCAGGACAAGGTACCACCGGCTACCCAATCCATGATGTCCTCTCTTTAAGATGTGCTCCATTGGTCAGGCCAGCAGTGTTGCGCCCACATGGCTTTCCCACTTCCTGAAGCCTCAGTTTTCCCATCTGTAAAATGGGGCATCTAATAACAGTGCTTACTTTAGAGTGCTTGGTAGACTGGATGAGCTGCCCCATGAAGCAAGTGCACAGGGAACGGTGGCTGCTACTCCTTTGTGGCTTCCTTCGTGGTCAAACCTGCTTCTGCCAGGACGCCTTTCCCCTTGGACCACCCTCTTCAATTACTGCAGCCCATCTCTTGAGCTCCTCCGTGAGAAGGGAGCTGTATCAGTGGCTTCAGAAGAGTGCTATTATCAACTGTTGGCATTTCCTCATCTGATAAGAGAGACTTGTCCACCATAGTGGTGGTAGTGCTCTATCTTTCTCTGTTCCCCCTGAACTGCCTTGCAGAGTGGAGAGGCTGATAAAGAAGTAACTCAGAGGACAGTCCTAAGTCTTACGCATCCTTCCAGAGCTGACCTGACCCTCCCTGACTGACCCTGCTGTCTCACTCCCTTCAGCTGACATGGGCTTTCAGTGCCCCATGTCCTTGCCTTACCTTCCTGCAGCACTGGTCACAACTGACCCGCACTTGCATGCTTAGAAGTCTATTTCAGCCTCAGTTAATAGCATGAGACCAAGCCTAGGGTTGAGACGTAAAAGGCATTCATAGAAGATGTGCTGCGTGGAACAACAGTACTATGTGGACAGGAGACTAGAAAGGCGAGCAAGGGCCAGGCTTAGCATTCATGTGAACAGGCTGGGCTCAACCATAAGAACAGAATGGAATCCCTTCAAGGCAGGCCAGCCGGAGTTTCACATTGTGGGGACAAGACTGTCCCCTGATGCCTAGCATCTACTTCATGCAGTTAGACGCCCTGCTACTCAGGGTAAAACAGGATGGTACATTAGTTGACCTGTGTTGCAAAATACAATCTCAATCTACAGTTCATCATACTCAATTAAGCTGCACATTCCGCATTTCCTATTTTGAAACAAGATGGCCAACAAAGGATCGTAATTACATACATTGCATTTCAGGCGAGAGAAAAGAAGGCTTAAGCTTAAGGAAAGCTTTTTCTACATCCTGCCTTCTTTCTCAGGCCTTCAAAATTAAAGCCTAACATCAACTGGAAGGAATTATTATGGAGTTTATTTTTAAGGTAAGAAAGGTGCTGCATTTGTAAATTTTTTAAAAGTAAAGAGGAAAAAATAAAAGAAGCTTCCTGAGGGGGAGACCTGTCCTACCTGTGTTTCTACCACAGCTGGGAGGGAACGCATCTAGCTGCTGGCTTTATGTTCTTTCCACCGGGCTCCTGAGATACAGAAGCAAAGTCTTCTGAGGAGCACCTGGGTGGCTCAGTCAGCTAAGCGTCCAACTTTGGCTCAGGTCATGATCTCATGGTTTGTGAGTTTGAGCCCAGTGTTGGGCTCTGTGCAGACATCACAGATCCTCCTTGGAATTCTCTCCCTCTGTCTCTGCCTCTTCCCTGCTCAGGCTCTTTCACATGCATTCTGTCTCTCTCTCTCTCAAAGTAAATAAACTTTAAAAGTATTATAAAAAGAAGGAAAGTCTCTGAAATTAAGATGGGGCTAAGAATCTGTCTTTAATATTTTAAAGATATTTTACCCCCCCTTCAAAAAAGAAAAGAAAAACCTCTAAACCAAAACCAAAAACAACAACCAACCAAAAAACCAAAAACCAAAAAACAAGCAATGCTTTCCAAAAGAAGGAAAGTGACATGGCTTAATATATGAGTTCATGCAGTAAATCAAGTGAAGTCCTTTCAGTTGGACCCGAGTGAGGACAGATAAATAACGTGAGTTTCTACAGCCTGAATGGAGATGGGAGAAACAGGACTGTGGGCTCAAGATCAAACAAAATGAGAACCGGGATGGCCTCTTTCCGGTTCCCCCCAAGCCGTCCGTTCTTATCCTAAAGGTTATGAAAGGTTTTTTGAGACTAGCTGAGCAAATGAGATCCTGTTCCTTCCTTGGGAAAACTTGTTTATCCTGTATCCGTTTTTAGACCTTGTAAAAGTTGGTGAAGTCAGTTCTCCCCTATTAGCCTGAATTCTTCCACACTCAGCAAATATCAACAGGAAAAGGCTTCAGTCATTGATAACAATGAAAGCAGGGAGCTCACACAGGGCCTTAATAAGCTGCCTGCGCCGACACAGGGAAAGACAGAGACACAATCTCCAGTTTGTGCTTATCGAATAACGGGGTTTGAAAGGATAGAAAAGATACCGAAATCTAGGTAAATTTATTTTGACAGTGACAACAGCACCATCTCTTTACAACTCAAACTGGTCTAAGGGTTCATTTTGGAACTGTCAAAGCTTTCAAGCAGAAGATTATTCTTGGTGGCTGAAACTTGGTGAGACAAATTTCATGGTGTAAGGAAAAGCCATGTTAGTTTTGGAGATGCCATGAGGCAAGGAACCCAGGCGAGCAGCAGCAAATAGTGGGGTTGGCCAGACAGGAAGTGCCGTCCCCACACGGGCCCAGGCAGATAGGTGATGGGTTTAAGTACTTTAAAATATTTTGAAAAACCCAAATCAGATACTTTTCCAAATAACATTATCTGTTTGATAAACAGAAGGGATTCTTATAAATGACACTAGTATTTATCTCTTGCCCGATATTTAAATATCTGTGGTGAGATGTGTCAAGAGAAAAGTAATTAGACTTTAGAAAAGGGGATAGAAAGCTTTCTGCTCCCTACATGCTTCCAACGGAAAAATCTAGGCTTTTTTAGCACAGTTCCCAACCATTCTGGAATGGCTGTGTACTAACAGACCCCGACTAGCTCTCACTGTGGGGTGAGCTCCGTTGTACCCCTGGAATCATGCTTGAAGCAAACATAGCATCGTTTTGAAGACACGTCTACCCTTGAGCTGTGAAGGCAGTCCATACATACCTCCCACCGCATTACAGCGCGATGTCATTTCCCAGAGTACCAGAGCCATCGAGTAGACATCCGTCTGCTTAAAGGATTCAACATTCTCCAAATTCATCCTGGATTCTAGGACTTCTGGAGCCATGTATCTCGCAGTTCCCACCTAGAGTGAAAACAGACATTGAGACCATCGTGTAATCCGGCTGCATTTTTAGTCTAAAAATTTGACTGATGTTTGTGCTCTCATATACACAAACTCTGAAGAGCACAACACTCTTTAAACCATGAGACTGACACCGAAAGGTACACCTTCTGAAATTATTTTTGAAAATAGGATTTCTCTTCCTGAAAACACTTCTAAAAATATAAACAAAGCGTGCCAAAATAAGGAAATGCCAAACCCCAGGGCTGCTTTCTCGAACTTTGTGATATATGTCATCGTATTAAACAACAATCTCACAGATAACTGGGAGACAACATCTGCAATATGTTGGAACTTTATTTTTGTTTTTGCAAATAACTGTCGTCTCATTACTGAAACACCAAGATTTATGGTGAAAGTAAGAATAAGTGCCATTAGTTTCTGACACGTAAGGATGGTTTTGATCTTTTTTGTTTACTCCATGGTGCGTCCTAGTGTGCCACGAATGAAGTATACCTTCATAAAATCTCTACTAAACTAAGCTGTGTGAAAGCATTTCTCCAGGAGAAGGCCAAATCTAGATCATTTGATACTTTGGATGGCTATGCTGTGTGATTTTGTTTGGACAATGGCCAATAATGTGAGAACATTGGTATACACAGGATAAAAGGAGAAAGATATTTCTAGGGAAGCAGTAATGTATGTGTGATTTTGCTGTATGTATAGCTTAACTAAGGAACCATGAAGTCCTACCTTTTCAAGAACCTAAGGTAGGTCAAGTGAGTTGACATTATTATCCCAAGGAACATTTCTTAATGGTATGTATTAGAAGAAAAATTTTCTTTTTAAGAGGACATTGCATGACTCACTACCCTGCCATATTGATGTGTCCATATTTCACTCACTATGTTTACCTCAACAATGCCTGTAGACCAAGCAGTAACTGAGTGCTTAGAAGCACATACCCCCAGCTTCTTAGAGGAAATAGGGGTGCTTTCTGGACTCTACTATAATCCACATCGAGCTTCCAATGTATGAAAACATGGGGCACCATCATTCATAAGGGATGACTTGGTAATTTCTAGTGACTTTCCAAATACCTCCTTACCCCCAAAGATTTCTATTTTAGTCTTTGCGATGCTTCTAAAAAAATGCAGAATTGTATGTTCACTCAGTTGTTGACTCACGCAAAAAGTATCTATGGGTTACTTTCACTGTTCAAGGCATTGTCCCGTAGATGTAAACAAATGGATGTGTATTTGGGCTTCAAGGAGACTGCCTTCTAGAATGGTGAAAAGAAAACAAGGTAGCTACCAATAGCTCAGAGTAGGAAGGGCAGAAGAGAAGAGTAAGGGAGGGGGAAGAAATGGAGACAAAGAACTAATGGTGTTAGAAGCAATGAAAAGTACTTTGCAAATAGGAGAGAAATGAAGACTGACTCAAGGAGAAGATGGCCTGTCTTGATTTGGAAGGAGTCTGCGGAAACAGGCGGAGAAATACTGTTCGTTAGTAAAGACACCCGGGCAGAAGAGAGTGGGGCACGCCCAGGGCCACCTCCTGCCTTTGGCTACCTTCCCTAAACAGGTGTCCGAAGCATAGGGCCGTTTGAGATGGAAGACACAAGATGTGGATGGAGAGGTAGGGTGGGGCCCCCTAGGAGTAAGGTGGTCCAGGACTCACTTACCTGCCCACTGTTGGCCAGGTCATCCACAGACAGGGTTGGGTCCAGACGCAGGGAAAGCCCAAAGTCACACAGGCAGCAGGTCAGATCGTTCTTCACGAGGATATTGGAGCTCTTGAGGTCCCTGTGCACGATGGGCATCTTGGGTCTCCCGCACAGGGTGTGGTCGCTGTGCAGGTGAGCAATGCCCCGCGCGAGGGAGCTGCCAAGAGTGCGCAGGTCCTCCCAGCTGATGACGTGGCGCGTCAGGTACTCCTGTAGGTTGCCCTTGGCGTGGAAGGCCGTGATCAGCCAGTACTGCTTCCCCAGCTCTGTCTTGCGCTCCTCAGCTGTCAGGAACTGCAGTATGTTCTCGTGCTTCAGGTTGATGTCCGAGAAAATGTCCTTCTCCGTCTTCCAGGAGGCGTACTCTTCATAAGGGAAGATCTTGACCGCCACGGTCTCAAACTGTTCAGAAGTGTTCTGCTTCAGCTTGGCCTTGTAGACCTCAGCAAAGCGGCCTTTCCCCACCAGGGTGTCCAGCTCAATGGGCAGCAGCTCAGTGTTGTGGTTGATGTTGTTGGCACATGTGGAGCTGATGTCAGAGCGGTCATCTTCCAGAATGATGGCGAGGTGCTCGCTGAACTCCATGAGCTTCCGTGGCTTGCTGGTCTCCCAGGACGGGCTCAGCTTCTGCTGCCGGTGAACGCGGTAGCAGTAGAAGATGATGATGACGGCTATCGCGATTCCCAGTGGCGGCAGGAGGCTGACACCGGTCACTTGGAATATGACTAGCAACAGGTCAGGGTTGTTGGTGGCATATTCTGATTGGAACACAAAACAAGGGAGAGGAGAAATTGGGCTCAGTGGGTATGCACAGACAGGGAGTGGGTCCATGCCTTAGGCATCTAGAGGCTTTGACATCTGCATTTTGTGGATAATATACTGTCACTTTTTTTATTCCAGGGATGGAATGGGCAGTCTTCCCCACCTCTGGCCATCTAGTCAATGTCTCCTATTGTTCCCTCAAACTTGAGCTTCAATGTCACTCTCTAAAGGAAATCTAGGAAAATGGGGGAAAAGGTTTTATCTTATATATTCTCATGACACTTGACATTTTTCCTATGTGACAACTTAGCACCGTTTGAATTAAATAGCTATGACTTCAGGTATTGGTTACATATCTGCCTTTCCCTACTTCCCTCACCCTCAGCAGGCTGAGAACTCCATGCTGGCAGGGGCCGCATCTTTCTTTGGCACTACTGTATTAAATTTTTTTTAATGTTTATTTATTTTTGAGAGGGAGAAACAGAGCACAAGCGGGGGTGGGACAGAGAGAGAGAGAGAGACAGAGACAGAGACTGAATCAGAAGCTGGCTCCAGGCTCTGAGCTGTCATCACAGAGCCCGAAGTGGGGCTTGAACTCAAGAGCTGCGAGATCATGACCTGAGCCAAAGTCGAACGCTTAACCGACTGAGCCACCCAGGTGCCCCAGTCTTTGGTACTATTGTAAACAGTGCCTAGCACACATCAGGTCCTCAACAAGTGCTGACTAAATGGACACAGCATTTACTAAGTGTTACCTAAGCCCAAGGCTTTGCAGGAGGCTTCAGTAATATAGAAAGAATGACAGCTCCTGCCTCCAAGTGTTTGCATATCTGGTATCTGGTGAAAATGAAGAGACTGCCACAGCTCTACCATAGTCTTTGTTCTTTTCTAAACTCTAGCTTGTCCTGTTCTGACTGGCACCCTGAAACATAGGTGGTGGGGAAAGGAGTCTATGCAAAGGGTCTCTTTGGAAGGCAGGTATATTATATCTACCCAATATCTCTTTTTATAACATGCATGTGATTTGCAATTTCATAGAATAGGAATTGTTGCAATTTCATAGAATAGCAACAGTGGAAATAGTTTTTGCTTTTTAAAAAATGTTTTAAATGCTTATTTATTTTGAGAGAGAAAAAGAGATCAGGAAAGGGTCAGAGAGAAAGAGGGAGAGAGAGAGGATCCCAAGCAGGCTCCGCACTCTCAGTGCAGAGCCTGGCACGGGGCTCAAAGTCACGAACCGCGAGATCACGACCTGAGTCAAAATCAAGAGTTGAATGCTTACCCGACTGAGCCCCCAGGGCCCCCTGCAACAGGGCAGATATTACTACAAAGGTGAGAAGAGTAAAAAGACAGGCAGCCAATTTTCTAACTTGGACAACTGAGTCATGCCCTGTGGGTTGAAGGAGGAGAGCCCTCAGCCCCAGCAATGTCTTGTATGCAAACTCTGGGTCATGTGCTAGTCTTGCCTGGCTCTGGGAAGAAGAGCATCGAAGGAAACAGTCAGTGGCAGAAGACAGAGAAAGGCAGTTTTGGTTCTGTGAGAGCTCTGTGTTGGCTTGTCTCCGCTGGGCAAGAATGCCAGAATTCTACTGCCTTTATATGTCATTCATTTCCCCTCAAAGGTACCTATGCAGAAGCAGTCCTCATGATCAGACGTGAGATTCACTCATCAGACAGAACACTGCTGGATGCCACTGTGGACATGGCGTTGCCCTCCAAGAGGTTATAACCCAGGAGAGGATCAGGGCACATGGACAAATGCATAGTGATAACGCAGCCATCAGGGACGGGGCTGAAGTTGTGCCGTGGTCTATGTGTTGGTGGAATGGAGAAATGCTTGGAGAACCAGGGAACCCCAGTGGTAAGGACCACCTTTGAAATGGTCAACGGAAAATGGGATAAAGTGAGTGACAACGAGACGGAATGTTATGTTAAAAAAGGACGTATGATTTGAGGAAGGGCGGTTTTCCCAAACCAATGGCTCCACACAAGGAAACAGAAAGAAGAAAAGGTGGGGTAGATGACATGGAGCTGGACGCCATGTCAGAGAAAGTATCTGTAATTGTCCAAATGGCAGTTTTCACCTGCTGTAGGTGTTTGAGGAGAAAACAGTGACAAGGATACAGGCCAGGTGCAAGGGAGAGAACTGAGAATCCATTACCTAAATCATGTTTGATATCAGTTAACAATGCCCAGTGAGAAAGGAAGCTTGGACCAAGCCAGTTTGGGTGGTTGAGTTTAACATGAGGTACCACCGAGCCTTGGGGTCAGTTCTGAGTGGAGGCTCCAACCTCCATTGCCTGTATATTCTAGATGAAAACTAGAGCTCTTAAACAGATGCCACAAGAAACTAGAAAAGCAACCCCCACACATCTGGATTTCAGCAACCAAGAGGAAAAAAGAGTCACTATTTTGGAAAAAGATCTGTCAGTGTATTTTTACAAAAAAGAATAGGAAAAGGGAAATAATACGGTAATTGACTCTTGAGAATCCAAGTTCTTGCTCACGCTGGAAGGCATGAGTGGGACAGAGGGAGGGTGAGACACTGTAAGTGATAGTGGTACAAGGCAGTGGCAGAGAAGGCTGGAAGTGCAAATGAAGAAAGGATTCCTGTGGATGAGTATAGACTGTCCCCATCTTTCAGCAAAGTATGAGCCTGGAGAGCAAGGTTAGGGAGGGGGCAGATGAAGGAACAGAGCGGAAAACAAGATTCCCTCGCGGTAACTGCCTCTATGATCTGAAGTATCTCACGAATGCATCTGCTTCAAGCACCCACTTGTCTGTAACTACATGAGACGCCTTATAATCATACTTCAGTTTGGGGCGCCAGGGTGGCTCAGTCAGTTGAGCGTCCGGCTTCGGCTCAGGTCATGATCTCGCAGTTCGTGGGTTCGAGCCCGTGTCGGGCTCTGTGCTGACAGCTAGCTCAGAGCCTGGAGCCTGTTTCAGATTCTTTGTCTCCCTCTCTCTCTGACCCTCCCCTGCTCAAGCGGTTTCTCTCTCTCTCTCTCTCTCAAAAAACAAACAAACAAACCAACCAACCTTAAAAAAATCTTAAAAAAATAATCATACATCGGTTTGATTCCTGCATTGCTGGCTGCCCCCAAGAGAAAGCAAACTCTATATGGATAAATCTGTGATTCAATCACCATCCTTATATCCAGTGCCAGGCCCAGGATGGTGCACTTACAGTACTCGGCAAGTGTTTGTTCCAGGAGCTGGATGGATGGTGATTTACACAGGACAAGGCAGGGTGGGCAAATCACAGCCCAGGGCCTATTTTTGTACAGCCCTGTGGTCTACAAACGTCTGTTGGTTTGTTTGTTTGTTAAAGAGCTGCTTAGAAAAAGAAAGATACTAAGATGTGCATACAACACAGATGATATCTAGCCCGGAAAGCCTAAAATACTTTCTACCTGGCTCTATATAGAAAAAGTTTGCTGACCCCTCTTGTGTGGGTATTTGTTTTAACAACCTGTGAGGCATTAGCAGAATTGGGGGAGACTTCACTTTGGTCCAAGGTGAATATATTCTGTTTCACATATGGGGCAATAACACAACTAGAAAATATTAAATTTTTTAAAAAAATGTTTACTGTATTTGAAAGAGAGAGAGACAGAGAGAGACAGAACATGGGTGGGGCAGGAGCAGAGAAAGAGGGAGACATAGAATCTGAAACGGGCTCCAGGCTCCAAGCTATCAGCACAGAGCCCGATGCGGGGCTTGAACCCACGAACCATGAGATCATGCCCTGAGCCAAAGTTGGACACTTAATGGACTGAGCCACCCAGGCTCCCCTAAAAAATACCTTTTAAAATATATAAAAATAGGGGCACCTGTGTGGCTCAGTCAGTTAAGCATTTGACTTTGGATCAGGTCATGATCTCACAGTTCATGGCTTTGAGCCCTGTGTCAGGTTCTGTGCTGAAAGCTAGCTCAGAGCCTGGAGCCTGTCTTCAAATTCTTTGTCTCCCTCTCTCTCTGACCCTCCCCTGCTCAAGCTGTCTCTATCTCCCTCTCAAAAATAAATAAAACATTTTAAAAAATAAAATAAATAAAATGTATAAAAATATAAAATACTGCATAATTACTTGGCTGGGTCATCAATTGTTCAAGGTGTGCAAAACATTCACATGAACTGTTCATTTATTTTATTTTTTGAACTGGTCATTTACTGCTGATGATTTTATTTTCTAATTCCTGACCATAGATGAAAGGGTCTTCCTTGCTAATTTCTATTCTTTTCCAGGCTAGGGGAAACTCGAAAACAGAAATCCCCTGACACTGATGTGTGAAGAAGATTCTAGAAACCCCCCATTCAGTGTCTGAAACCGAAAGTTTTACTTTCCCCTCAAATTTCCTGTGATTTCTTCTTGAAAACCTACATGTAAAAATTTGATAGGGCGGGAATTACTGAATAACATCTGTCAATCTTGAAACTTCAAAGAGGTGGTGGAAAACCCTAACAATAGCAAACAGGGTTAAAAGGGAGCTTTGGGATGTGGTTTTATCTAAATAGGAGCCACCCACACCCTCTCGGTATTAACCCTTGGGCTGCTACTACAGAAACAGCTGTGGGTATAGGCACAAGCTGGCATATATATATATATATATACACACACATACATACATACATATATATACATACATACGCACAAACACACACACACACACTTTAAAAAAATTTTTTATTATATACATATTTTTTTAATGTTCATTTTTTGGGAAACAGAGCGTGGATAGGGGAAGGGCAGAGAGAGAGAGGGAGAGAGACACAATCCGAAGCAGGCTCTAGTCTCTGAGCTGTCAGCACAGACCCCAACGTGGGGCTCGAACTCACTAGCCGTGAGGTCAAGACCTGACTTAAAGTGGGATACTTCACCGACTGAGCCACCCAGGAGCCCCAATTTTATATAATATTTTTATTTGATTGGCAGAAAAACCCTATGAGGTAGATGCTATTATTATTGTAAGCCCCATTTCACAGATAGGGAAG